ATCCTTCTCTGGTTCTGGGTTCTATTAGTTCTGTCTTGTTTTCATGTTTGGTGCCAAATTTAGTCTTGCCTTGTTTCTAGTACTGGATACAATCCTGCTGCAGAGCCTCCCTATTAAGCTCCTGGGAGGTCTGCTTAATTTCCAAGTTCCTAGTTCCTGTTATTTGCATAGGCTGAATCAGGGTCTTGGTATGTGGCTGCACAAACGCTGGTGCTCAACACCAGGGGGCGTGCGGTTACCCTGCACCAGACCCTGCTAATCCACTTCCACGCTGAAGACTCCCACTTATCATCAGGCATATTGGGTCCCGGTCCACGCGCCGCCGCCTGGACACTGTGTCTGGGTTCCGGGCACCGGACTGCCACCCTGACAGCAATAAAGAAAACCAGACATAGACTAGAAAAGCAGAAAAACCAAGAAAAACTAAACAAGAATTGTAAAAAGAGTACTGGATACCAGAAGCCCTTGACAAGGAGTGGAATGACCTCAGAAGACGAGGAGCGTGCACATCAGAGGACTTGACACAAGACTGCTCTTCCGGACCGTATCTTTTCCAATCAACCAGATACTGGAGACTGCCACGGGACATGCGAGAATCCAGAATGGACTCTACTTCATACTCCACCTGATTATCGACTTGAACAGGGGAAGGAGGGATGATCTTATTGGTAAAACGGTTATAGACTAAAGGTTTAAGAAGAGACACATAGAAAGTATTGGGAATGCGCAGGGAAGGCGGGAGAGTCAAACTATAAGCCACAGGATTGACCCGCATAATGACCTTATAACGAACAATGTACCTGGGAGCGAACTTGTGTCTTGTACTCAACCAGACTCTATCCCCCAGTTGATACACTGGAGCAGCATGTCTACGCTTGTCAGCCTGGAACTTAAATGATTGTGAGGTAGTAGCGAGGATGAGTTGAGCTTGTTCCCAAGTGTGTCTCAGGTTGTCAATGTGGAGGTCAACCGATGACAGACCCAGAGAAAGGAGAGCAGAATAAAGGACCAGGGGATTGAAACCATAATTAAGATAAAAAGGATGGAAATGAGTGGCCTCACTAACCAAATTGTTATGAGCAAATTCAGCCCAGGGAATCAAATTAACCCAGTTATCCTGATGTCCCGATACAAAGCATCTTAAATACTGTTCCAGCATTTGCTTTGTGCGTTCTACTGCCCCATTGAACAGAGGGTGACCGAGAAACGAATTGTGTGCCCCTATCTGATATTATTTCCATCGGTATACCATGCAGGCGAAATATTTCTTTGGAGAATATGTAGGCCAATTCTGGTGAAGAAGGTAGCTTTAGTAACAGGATAAAGTGTGCCATCTTAGAGAACCTGTCTACTACTGTCAATATAACTGTTTTACCTTTGGACAATTGTAGTTCGACAAAGTCTATAGATATGCATTTCCATGGTTTGTCTGGTATGTTAAGTGGTTGTAATAAAAATGAAAATCAAGCGCACTCCCTTATCTACTAAACAGCTACTTTGGTGCTGACAGATTTTGTTAGTTTTTATAAAACACCTTATCTAGGCAAAACATAATGGAGGTTTCGTTACATTATATGATCATACATTGCATAAGCCTGCCACAACATCAATGTACCCCATCTTTGGCAGGTTAAGTGGTTGTAATAAGCTACAAGGGAGAGTGTGGAGCTGTTTTTTTTCTAGAACAGGTGTCACATGCTGTTACGTAGTCTTTGACATCTGTTCTCAAAGAAGGCCACCAAAACTTGGTGATTATTAGAGAGTATGTCTTTTTAATACCTGGATGACCCGCTGTTTTTATAGTCATGATGATGGGAAAGTATGGGTGTTCTATACTCGGAAGGAACAAATAGGTTATCAACAGGAGTTGATTCAGGCGCTTGATCTTGTTTAGACGATATGTTGTCAACAAGATCAGAATTAATTCTAAGCACCGTGTGGGCCATTATATGTGAGCTTAGCACCACCGTAGATATGTCTGTAAGAGAACTGGTTTGAGGTTCATATTGGCACGAGAGGGCGTCAGCCTTCGTATTCTTAGATCCTGGTTTATATGTTAAAACTTAATTGAACGGTGTCAAGAAAAGGGACAATCGAGCCTGCCTAGCTAACAATCTTTGGGCTTCTCCCAGGTAAGCAAGGTACTTGAGATAGTACTGCTCCTATGCCTGTTTCGGAAGCATCTACCTCTAGTAGATAAGGAAGGGTCGGATCAGGATGAACCAGAATTGGAGAAGAGGCAAAGGAGTACTTCAAGGTCTCAAATGCTTCCATCGCCTCTGGTTTCCAGAATTTGGGATTATTTTCCTTCTTAGTGATAGCGGTTATAGGTGCTACTATGGAGGAAAAACATTTGATAAATCTTCTATAGTAATTAGAGAAGCCTATAAAGTGCGGTATAGCTCTGAGACCACTCGGAAGCAGTCAATTGATTATGGATTCTAAATTCTAAGGATCCATTGAAAACCCTGCTTTAGAGATAACGTATCCCAGAAAACTGATTTGGGTTTGATCGAAAAGGCACTTCCCTAATTTGCAATACAATCCGCTTTGTAACAAATGGGATAATACCCTCCTCACATGTCTATGTTGTTCTTCCAGAGAATTTGAGTATATGAGAATGTCATCAAGATATACAATAACACACTCATGTAAAAAGTCTCTTAGAACAGCATTAATGAGATCTTCGAAGACAGCCGGGGCATTACATAACCCAAATGGCATTACGGTATACTCGTAATGCCCGTATCGTTTATTAAATGCTGTCTTCCACTCATCACCTTTCCTTATCCTAACCAAGTTGTACACACCTCTAATATCAAGTTTGGTAAAGATCGTAGCTTTTTTCAAGCTACCAAAGAGCTTGGTAATCAATGGTAAAGGATAGGCATTCCTCACCGTGATCTTATTTAATCCCCGGTAATCTATGCATGGTCTAAGGTCTCCCTCTTTTTTGGAGACAAAGAAAAATCCTGCCACAGCTGGGGACGAGGATTTCCTAATAAACCCCTTTCTTAGATTTTCCTTAATGTACTCCTCTAATACCAAGTTCTCCTTAGGTGATAGAGGATATACAGTTCCTCTAGGAGGCATAGTTCCAGGTAAAAGATCTATAGGACAATCGTAGGTCCCATGAGGAGGAAGTTACTTGGCCTTGTTCTTATCTAAGTAATCCAATTATCTCCAAGGACAGAGGTAAAACTTCATTAGCCACATGGTAACAAAATACAATAAAATACATAAAAATATATAACTGTGCAGCTATTGCATAAAACGGGTACATTCAACATATCCCCAGATAGCTTAGATCTGAGTGTAAATTATTACTGAATGGCGCTCAGATCACATACATATAGTTCAATTGCCATGGAGCCAAAGTCTTTCACATAGTCTTTCGTTATACGAATGGGCTCCATGGCATAGCTATCTGTGGTAACACTGCTCACATAGGGTCTTTGCAGGGGAAAATCCAGCATGTCAACATGGGGCCATAGTCCTTCATCTTTTTCCTTCATCTTTTTGACACATACTGTCTACATACATTTTTATGGGCACGTCTTTTAGTTTTTAGTTTGGCTTTCATATGTCACCTAGAATTTATACCTTCACTTCTGTTTTGTTTTGCAGCTATTAAAGGCACAGTACCCAACATTTTACACATTCTTTTTTTACACATTTTTGCATATTACTCATTTTATATATTAGTCACTTTATCAGATTTTAAGTTATTTTCACAAGTCAGCTCCTGGTATCCATGCACTATGCCCTAGAGTGCTCTTCTTGTTATTAGTTATAGGTTTTTGTGAATCCCTATTATTTCCAGTCTGAGCGACTTAGTGCTAGTTGAACTCCCTCTCCTCTGTGCACACAATGGGTGTACCAGAACTTTTTATCCCTTTTCATATATTTTTCTGTATTTTATTGTATTTTGCTACCATGTGGCTAATGGAGTTTTACCTCTGTCCTTGGAGATAATTGGATTACTTCCCAATTATCTCCAGGGTAGAAGACTCTGTGGAACTGGTTTTGGGCAGAAAAACCATGCTTCATTTGGCCAAATAGGACTTTCCCTTAACTTTTTAACCCCTGAACCGATTGCCCTGATTTTTGAATATGTGTATATTTTTATGAAGATTGGACGTATATTTTTAAAGTTATAGCACATGTATAAAACCTGTATTTTTCCGGCTTGTGATAATTATGTTAACCCATTGTGTACCATAATTATATCACAGGCAGAGGGGAGGATTTTGTGTATAATTGCTGGGAGTGTTTTCTGTAATGTACGTGTGTTATTGGTTGTTCTGTAAAACCCTGTGGGCAGTACTAAGTTTGTGGATTGTGAATAAAAGAGGCTGTATGTGCCAGTACAGTTAGTTCTGCTTGACCTCAAAACGAAGTGTCGTCTCGTTATTGGGGGAATTGGATTGTATGCTGATTGCCAGGAGTGTAAGATGATTGTATGCTTTTCCTGTTCAGCTGCTTACAGCATTCTAATGCTTGAGAGCATTTGTATGCTTCTCCGGTTCGGTGGTTGTGGTGTCTGTTGCAGTGCTTGGAGTCCTCAGGAAGCGCTGGAAGCATCCTTCAGTGGAGGTACCCAGTCAGGGTGCCAGGTGATCCGTTACAGTTCCTACTTGCTTTGGTTCTGGTAAAGCCAGGGCCATAGAATTTGCTGTATTAAAGGAGGGAGCTAACTGGATCTGCGCTCTTTTTGGTCTTTCTCTGGTGATCTGTCTAAACCTAAGACTTTTGTCTATATGAGAAAGATAAGATATCAGGTCTTCTAGGTTTTCTGGTAATTCTTTAGTCGCGACCTCATCCAGAATGGTGCCTGAAAGGCCATTAAGGAATGCATCAACAAAGGCGTGGTTATTCCATCTGACCTCTAGTGCTAGGGACCTGAATTCAAGAACGTATTCCACTAATGCCTTGTTCTCTTGTCTAAGATGTAAAAGAGACCTAGCAGCATTTGCCTTCCTACAGTCAGTGTGCCGCAGGTTTCTGTCAGTGTGACCACACTGAAAGCCAGTGGTCATGCTGACAGAAATAACAAGCACTCATCTCACCAGCGGCAGATCAAGACCCGACCTCCTTCCATCTCGGTCCCCGGCGTGTGTGGCATTAACAGAAGCCGGTTCCATTTCTAATAAAGAAAAACCCCTTGCCCATATCAAAGATGGCGCTTACGTGTGTGCAATGTCACATCATAAACGTGTACACACTTTTTGGGGTCAGAAGTCACTTATAGCCAATTACAGCTCTAGGAGGGTTACTTAAACCCAAATTACCTTTTGATCAGTGCCTTGTCATGGTTCCCCTCAGCTTGTTATTTGAGAGAGTGTTCCTGATCTTTGTATTTCTGGTATTTGACTTTGGCTTCGTTTGACTTCCCTGATTTCTGGTATCCATGACTTTTGGCTTTCCCTCATCGTTGTGTCTCACTCTGTATCCCTGATCTCGGCAAGTATTTTGACTATTCTTGGTTACGTTCAGTCCGTCCATTCTAAGGTCCAGTAATACCTTAGTCCTAGGCGTGATACTATTTCTGCGTGCTGGATCAACAGTAATCCTGACACCTACCAGGAGGGTCAAAAGTTCTATGAAAGGTCTCCATAAAGGCTACATAATTATACACCAGGGCCTTATCATTTTTCCATGGCGGTTTTGCCCAGATCAACGCCTTATCAATCAAAAGAGTTATAATGAATCAAATTTTAGCTCTATCCATGGAGTATGCCTTGGACTGTATCTCGAAATGGATACTGATCTGATTGAGAAACCCACGACAAGCTTCAGGAGCTCCACCACAGCGTAAAGGAGAGGTGACATGTGAGGTAGTTCCATAAGGAGTCACTTTCATACCTGTGGATACAAGGTTAGCTACAGGTGACTGGGTTTCTCCTTGTTGGCCTGCTGAATGTGTCAATAAGGTCTGTAACGCAAGGGCCATTTGGTCCATGTGGTGATCCATTTCCACAAATCTATCCTCATAGGTAATTCTCTGGGGGCTTACACCTGCAGGGTCCATGTGGCCCTGTTGAAATGTCAGGATTACTTAGAGATCTGTTGTGGTCGTGACCTAAATATGAATATTAATCTCTTAATACATAATAATTAAGCAATACGGAACAACATTAATATTTTTATAATTCATGGTATTATGGTTGAATATGTGGATAGAAAATACACAAAACGTTGTAATATTAAATGTATATTTAATATAACTATAACAAATAAACAGATGCTAGCAGAATGTCAATTTACTACAATTATGATACAATACAAAACTACAACATATTACTTACAAAAGGTTGCTAAATGTTACACAAATGTTCATTTTACTTACAAGGCCCCAGCCCTTTGGCTGGGGTTAAGTCAGAGCTGGTACTACATCTTAGGTTCAGTCAGTTACAGGCAAAGGGACAGAGTTTTCTCCTCCATCTGGTTTTATTCAGTGTAAGTAGGCTGGCCTGTGATGTCACTGCCAGAAGCACGTGTCTTCCTACACACTCCCCCTAGTGGTGCCCCAAAGCATTACACTAAATTTGCTTTCTTTATGATGTAAAGTCATTAATTAATAAATACCATTACAAGATCCAACAAGCAGGATATAATAGAAAAACATATACTGGGCCTTAGAATGGCCGGACTTAATGTTAGACAGATAAAGAATGGTCAGGGACAAGCCAAGGTCAAGGGAGCCAGAAATCACGGAATCGAGGAATACAATCCGAGTCAAGGGAACCAGAAAACAAAGTTGAGAGATACCAAAGCCGGGTCAGGAATACAGAAATGAGAATAGTAAGAAAGCCGAGGTCTATACACAAGAACACATTGAAAAGCAAAGCACTATTGGGAACTGTGAGTAGAACCACAACCATAGTTCTTTCCAAGTTTGAACGTTTTGGCAGACCGTGACGTCATTAGTTTCATGACATTGGCACGCTGCATCATAAAAGAGGGCAGAGCTACAGTGGCCGGCGTTGGAACCCACTGGAGTGGTGACTGGCAGCAGGAGCACAGCCAGAAAAGTGAGTGAGCATGGAACAGCGATCATCACAATACATATGTCCCATGTTTCTGTCTAAAGATGAATTGTCGTTCCCCTCATTACAGTATCCCATCCCTTCTTCCCCCATCTCATTCTAATCCATCATAGTTGGAATGTGTATAAATATCTAAAGAAAATCTCAATATGACTTTTACCATTTACATAAAACCAATGCTACTACATTTTTGTGTTTATTCACACTAGTTCCCTTATTATCTCCTCCCTCCCACCCCCACCCTCCTAAACCTACTCAACTGTGCCTTGTAAAGTAGGTGCTGATCTATCAAATTTTAAGGTAATCATTATTGTTGCATGAATGTTAACTTCATAAGTATATAACTTCCCACATTTTTGTGTCCCAAATTATTCTCTCTCAATATAGTCATCCTGCCCGACCAGCAGCCCAACTAGACCCCAGGGGGAGGGAGAACACAGAATATTTTTATTGCAATGACTGCAGGAACTGCAACAGCAAGTGTCTCTTATGGTTGTCTGAGTGACAGCCACTAGAAGTGTCCTTACAGTTAAATGTAAAGCTCTGCGGAATTTGTTGGCGCTTTATAAATAAAAATAATAAATGTAAACACTTGCAATTCTAAGAAAAGGCAGTATTTACACTTAACCTCTTAACGACGAATGACGGACGAGGTCCGTCGCTCGGGGAAAGCGTTAATGACGAGTGACGGACCTTGTATAGTGAATGTAGTGTTTTTGTAGTGAGTGCAGAGTGTGTATAATGAATGCAGAGTATGTATAATGAATTTAGTGTGTTTGTAGTGAGTGCAGAGTGTGTACAATGAATGCAGTGTATGTAGTGTGTTTGTAGTGAATGTAGAGTGTGTATAGTGAATGTAGTGTGTAGTTAGTGCAGAATGTGCATAATGAATGCAAAGGGTTTATAGTGAATGCAAAGGGTGTATAGTGAATGCAAAGGGTGTATAGTGAATGCAGAGGGTGTATAGTGAATGTAGTGTGTGCTGCAGTTGGATGATGTGTGTGTGTGTGTGCTGGATGATGGGTGTGTGTGTGCGCGGCTGGATGATGGGTGGGTGCGCGCATGCTGCTGGATGATGAGTGTGTGTGCGCTGGATGATGGGTGTGTGTGTGTGTAAGGCAAGCTGGATGATGGGTGTGTGTGTGTGTGTGTGTGTGCTGGATGATGTGTGTGTGTGTGTGTGCTGGATGATGTGTGTGTGTGTGTGTGCTGGATGATGTGTGTGTGTGTGCTGGACGATGGGTGTGTGCTGGATGATGGGTGTGTGTGTGTGTGCTGATGATGTGTGTGTGCTGGCGATGTGTGTGTGAGTGCTGGGATGATGGGTGTGTGTGTGAGTGCTGGATGATGTGTGTGTGCTGGATGATGTGTGTGTGTGTGTGCTGGATGATGGGTGTGTGAGTGCTGGATGATGGGTGTGTGAGTGCTGGATGATGTGTGTGTGTGCTGGATGATGGGTGTGTGATTGCTGGATGATGGGTGTGTGAGTGCTGGATGATGTGTGTGTGTGCTGCATGATGTGTGTGTGAATGCGGGATAGTGTGTTTGTGAGTGCTGGATGATGGGCGTGTGAGTGCTGGATGATGGGCGTGTGAGTGCTGGATGATGTGTGTGTGTGTGTGTGTGTGTGCTGGATGACGTGTGTGTGCGTGCTGGATGATGTGTGTGTGTGTGCTGGATGACGTGTGTGTGAGTGCTGGATGATGTGTGTGAGTGCTGGATGAAGAGTATGTGAGTGCTGGATGAAGAGTGTGTGAGTGCTGGATGATGTGTGTGTGAGTGCTGGATGATGTGTGTGTGAGTGCTGGATGATGTGTGTGTGAGTGTTGGATGATGTGTGTGTGTGTGTGCGGTGTGCTGGATGATGGGTGTGTGTGCTGGGATGATGTGTGTGTGTGCTGGATGATGGGTGTGTGGAGTGCTGGATGATGGTGTGAGTGCTGGATGATGCGGTGTGTGTGTGTGTGTGTTGCATGATGTGTGTGTGTGTGGTGCTGGATGATGGGTGTGTGTGTGCTGGATGATGTGTGTGTGTGTGTGTGCTGGATGATGTGTGTGTGTGTGTGTGCTGGATGATGTGTGTGTGTGTGTGTGTGCTGGATGATGTGTGTGTGTGTGTGCTGGATGATGTGTGTGTGTGTGTGTGCTGGATGATGTGTGTGTGTGTGCTGGATGATGGGTGTGTGTGTGAGTGTTGGATGATGGGTGGGTGTGTGTGTGCTGGATGATGTGTATGTATATTTTTTATTTTATTCCCCCCTCCCTGCTTCTTACCTTGTCAGGGAGGGGGGAGATCACCTGGTGGTCCGGTGGTATGCTGGAGGGAGCCAGCCGCTGCACAGAGGGGCCATCACACGCTGTGTTCCTTCTCCAGCTCTAACTCTCGCGAGACTCGCCTGTGCGGAGCGTTGCCATGGTAACAGCCGCGGGTCTCGCGAGAGTTATAGCTGGAGAGGGAACACAGCGTGTGCTGGCCCCTCTGTGCAGGAAGCAGGGCCGGTCCTGCAGGACAGGTAACGGGAACGGCGTTCCTGCTTTGGAAAAAGAGCAGGAACACCGTTCCCATGCGTTCCTGCAGGACTCGAGCCCTGCTTGTTCATAATTTCAATTGATGAGCTGCTTATACTTAAAAATATATGTGGCCTTTGAGAGGTAATTTGCAGTCCTGAGCTGCTAAAATGAGACTTGGGCCCAGCATCCACTTTTGAAAAATATGGAAGTGGTGTGTCTCAAATGTGCCCCTTCAACATCCACATAACCCTGAGAAAGGTACACATTGGGTTATCGTTGCACTAACATGACATAGCTGAGCAACATATTAGGTGTTACACTGCCTTAGCACACATAAGCAGAGGCGGCTCTCTAATTAGGCGGTTTAGGTGGATGCCTAAGGCCTCGCGCTGGCTGGGGCCTCGCGGCCGCCTAAACCACCTGTGGTCAGGCCGCCTAAACCACCACCCTCAGCCTCACCACCCCCACCACCCTTAGGCTCACCACCCCCCACCACCCTCAGCCTCACCACCCCCCCACTAGCCTCATCACCACCCTCAGCCTTCCCACCACCCCAACTCCCTCACAACCCTCACCACCCCTGCTAGCCCTCACCTACCACCCCCAGCCCCTCACCTCACCCCCACACCAATCCCCCTCAGCCCCA